ATTACCATCAAACCCAAAATTCTATAACGCCCTAGATTTGAAGACTTACTCTGAATACTGGAATTGATCTGTATTTGCCGTGTCGGATTTGAGCTTCCCACAGCTGAGGCTATGAAGAGCTATTTGTTTTCTGGAATATAAAGCCGTGTAGTCTGGTGAAAAGCCAACCGACGTTTCTTGAAGACCATATCACGTGCATCTTCAGGGTGGAAGAGCCCACTTTAAAGGCTGACGCGGGCCTAATTTTAGTACTCTTGTGCTGGACTGTTTAAATTTTGAACTACCAAGAACGTTATTCGGGTCACATGGCCATGGACGCTGACACATCTCGAAGCACGCACTTGCGATTGCTATTTTTCCGTCCTTTTCTCAGTTCTTCCCACTTTCTCACGTGTTCACAGTATCTTGACAAATCGCCTTTTGTAGTTATTAGTTATCAACGCTTGGGAGCAGCACTTTCTTGCAGTTATCTTGTAACGTTTTGAAATACTATCTGACTTCTAGATTTTTCAGAATTTTATTTCAAAATCTAGAGCCCCAGTGTGGCGTGACTGATGAGTTGCGGAGGGCGCGGGGTGTGCTGCAAAATTTATAAATTAAAATCGAATTGATTATAGTCCCCAAAATGTTTGAGATATGTTGCTTAATTTTGTGCCTTTGTATATAATCTTTGTATGTTTTTGTCAGTTGATAACAATATGAAGTTCAGAAAACACTGCTGTAGTGCGATCAATAAAAAATAGTCATAAATGGCTTAAGCATGTGTTTATAAGTTTTCTATTCCCCCCTCCCCATATAGGATCCTGTTGGCGCCCATACTTCCGCGTACACGAACATATACAGGTGTCCCAGGAGTTTGGTGCCATACTTCAGGAGCGTACTGAGGGTTCCCTATAGAACAATTTTGAAATAGGAACCCATGTCCCCAAACGTAAAAAAGCAGCGCTAGGGCGACATTTAAAATCATTTCGTTTAAACTTTGCGCCTCAATGTCGAACTGCATTGCGTAGAGGAGCAGCCATCCACCAGCACTCGTGCCATTGCCAAGATTGTGCGACATCAAAATCAAGTGTTTGGAGGATCCTGCATGACCAACAGCTTTATCCGCACCATCCAACGCGAGTCCATGACGTAGGTCCGTACTACGAGTTCAATTTTGTCAGTGGATACTGAACCAGTGTTTACATCAGCCCAACTTCCTGAATCACGTGTTATTCACAGACAAAGCGCAGTTTACAAGGGATGGCTGGTTCAACTGTCGAAACAGCCAGGTTTGGGCTGACGAAAACCCCAACGTTACTGTAGTTGGTTACCACCAGGCGCAATTTTCTGTCTGGGCGGGCATCATTGGCGATCACCTGATTGGGCCTTTCATCCTACCACCGCGACTCAATGGGCCCTTTTACAAGGTGTTTCTGGAACGTATCCTTCAGACTTTGCTAGAAGACGTGCCACTGATTGTGCGGAGGCAAATGTGGATACAGCATGACGGAGCGCCGGCACACTTCAGCGTTGTATCACGAGACTACCCGGATGCTGCTTTTCATGGTCGTTGGATAGGAAGAGGAAGCCCAGTGCCTTGGCCACCCCGATCCCCAGACTTGACACCTCTGGACTATTTCGTCTGGGGCCATGTGAAAAACCTGATCTACGACACGCCTGTGGATAATGAATTCGAGCTGTTGGCCAGAATACTTGTTGCATGTGACGTGATCCGTGAGACACCTGGAATATTTGAAAGGGTGCGCCAAAGTTTCTTTCGTTGATGTTACGTATTCATTGAAAATGGAGTGCGCCAATTCCAACATCTACTCTAGCAGGTGAGTCTTGAGAGTTTGAAGGGGGTAAAATGCATGTGCATGCTCTTCGACATTGAGGCGCCAAGTTTAAACAAAATGATATTAAATTCCGCCCTAGCACTGCTGTTTTACGTTTGCGGTTTCAGAGTTGTTCTATAGGGAACCCTCAGTACGCTCCTGAAGTATGGCACCAAACTCCTGGGACATCCTATATATTTCCTCGTTATTCCACACGTAGGCAGATTTAAATTAACATTTCTTGGTAACTGAGTTACAGTTTTTTTGTATAAGACTACGGTAAAAAGGTAAAGGTATCCCTGTAACAGGCCGTGGAGGCCCATAGGGTTGTGAGATGTTGAGGTTCCCACATTTTCTAGACAATCGGCTCACAGATCGCGGCAAGGTTGTCAGCCCTACGCGCCGGCCGCCCTTTACCCCTAAGAATATTCCTGGTACTCATTTCCGTTAGAGGCTGAGTCGAACCCAGGGCNAGGGCCATAGTGCGGCTGGAAGGATTAGGTCAGCCGAAAATAAAATCCAATGACATCATCGAGAATTGAACCCGCGACCTTCCGGCTTGTAGGACAGTGCCTCTACGCTACCGAAGGCTACGGTATTTCTTTCAAATAATCTTAAATATTTTATCGTCTTTCAAAGTCTTCCCATGAATTTTTTCGAATAACAGTCAATAATATTGATATATCAGTCCGGGGGTAGTATTGCCAGTATTATGACTAGGCGACGGACTGGACGACCGAGAAATCAGGGTTCAGTCCCGGTCGTTGCAAGATAGTTTTATTACCTCTGTAGCAGTGAGACCAGCTTACCCAGTTCCTTATCTAACAGGTACAGCGGGCTCTTTCACCGTGTTAAAGCTGACCACGCACCTCCGTCTGATACCTAAGAATGCGTGTTCGTGGCTAGGTGCTAAATTAACCGTTGGTGTAACTACACTTTTGACTTTCTGTATTTTACTTTAATCTTTAGACGAAATTCTATTTAGGAAGACCCTTGGCCTTCAGTGCGTAGACGAATTTAAGTAGGCCGCAGATTTATTAAAACGGACCTCAAACATTATCAGCCCTGCAAGCTTTATCGCACCCCTCTCTCCCCTGACTCTCTTGCCGCTTAAATCTGCTGTGCTTATCGTAGCTTAGGGCCCCGCAAAGTCTTCAAAGCCCCGGTTAGGTACTCAGCATTGGCTGCAGTGAATGACGTGATCCACTCAGCATTGGCTGCATTGAATGACGTGGATCCACTCAAACATTGGCTGCAGTGAATGACGTGTCGAAATGCAGTTCCCCTTACCCGAAGCGAGATAATCCGACAATGCCAAAGGCATTGATGCGATAGAAGCAAGATTGAATTATGTACTTGCTGGGTTGGTGTAGCGGTAACGGAAACGTATTCGGGAGATTCTGTGTCCGTATCTCGCCCGGAACACCCGCTATCTTGGTTGAGTATTTTTCGTGGTTTTTCCGCAGCCCCTCCATGCAGATGCTAGGATAGTACCTTTGGTCATGAATGCATATTTCCAAATCCTTCATACAGCTAATCATTCGTTTTACCATTCGACTGTATAGGGTCGAAATCCTGACAGTGCCATAAAATAATTCACAAAAGGCCGCCGTGCGTAGCACTTACAAGAAAACCAAACGTGTTGCACAGCGAAGCAGCGTTACGGGACTATCGTTTACGCCAGTTTGATAACAATCTCTCCAGTAGGCACCGGTGCAAGTAAATGAGTCATCGATCTCCTCACGAGAAGTGCGATGCACTTTGATGAGCAAGCGACGACGTATTGTGCAATCGGTTGTCGCGTCAGTAAATCAACCGTACGAAGGATTACAAAGGCTGAACTAGGTATCTGTGAAATATGAGCTTTTATGATCCTCTTGCGTCGGTGACTATTAAGCTTAACTGTTGCCTGTGATGTTAGATAGAGGCAAGAGGTTACTCCGAAGCGTTAGTTAACATTCTGCTAGACCAGACCACACGGCTTCACAATCGAGAACTCTGTAATTTTCTAAATGGTGGCAGTATTTAAGTCATCAGGCTAGTTTACAGTTAGGTCCTTGCATGCACCCCACGCGGTGCCCCGAAGGATAAGCGCGTACAGCCCATTTCTAGAAAGTGGGGCGGTTGATCCTGTTTTACCTGTTATCGCCTAGAATAGACTTATGAAGCGCAGCTAAGTTATATTTTAATTAAATATTAAAGAATGGTCTGGTTGAAGTAAACGGTAAAATAAAAATATTGTAGCGTGTATACCGTTACTACTGACCGCCTCTGTGGTCTAGTGGTCAGAGATCCTGGCTACAGAACCAGAGGTCCGAGGTTCGATTCCCGGAGCTACCAGATTTTCTGAGAAGTGGTGGGTCTAGAACGGGGTCCATTCAGCCTCGTGAGGATAATTGAGGAGCTACTTGAATGGAAAAGTAGCGGCTCCGGTCTACAAAACCAAAATTAACGGCCGAGGGGATTCGTTGCGTTAACCATGTGACACCCTCTATCCGCTAAAGTTGACACTGACTTTCCCGACAAGCGGCAGTTGCTCAGTTGGTATAGTTCACTTGTGGACTAAAGACACAATGTTGTGTGTGTTATATATTTAATGGAAAAAAGGATAAATAATTGGGCCTAACTATAGTGTCCGCAGCTGGGTAGGTGTTTCACTGATGGTGAGTAGAATTTTATCAGTCATATTTGTGAATATGCTACAGTGTCTCTTACAACATCCAGTAGTTTTGTCACTCCTGAATATTGGTCATTGTCATCCTTCATTTGGCTGAGCACTGTCAGTTGATCCCAACATGACTGGTCACGCCATAAGAACAGTAAAATCCTAGATTATATGGTGCTATACCAGTATGTGCATATGTTTCATATAGTTTAAACAGGTTGAGATTCATAATATGTTTCTCCTGGTGTTCTCAAACATTTTTAAATGAAGAAATGATAATTTTTTTCTCTCAAACTACCCTATAAATAAACTCTATGGAGGTTTGTGCTGTTACAATTTCCTTTATTGGTTTTCATGTTCAGTTGTAAGGGGTCAGTTATAAGCCTGCTTTCCATAATTCAAAATGGGCTTGTAATTTCTTTAGTGTCTGTGTGTCTGCCTGTCAGTCTGTGTTTTATAGGAATTTGCTAAGCTGGTTGTACTTCCAGTGCAGATATTTCATCTGTTGAATCTTTTAGGTACTGGTTTGACTAAACCGGTATGAACTGGCGCCAGCACTTTTCCTGGCTACATGGAATAAGATCAGGTAACATGGTGTGTTAGCCTAGTCCCAATTCTATGGCAAAATTTCCCCACACATTCCTGCAGAACCACATTTCCCATGTAATTCATGCAGAATGCTTTTGTTGGACACTATATTGAATTGTGTCGACTCACTGTGATAATCAATACATAACATACAATATTGCAGCATGAATGCATGCTCATAAATGTATGGAAAATCCAAACTGCTTTGTTGATAGTGTTTTGTGCAGTGGAACTGCAATTTAGTGATCCTGCATGCAATGTAGGAACCTTCAGCTGTGGATAAAGAATTTGCAGTGTATTTGATTTATTTCATTTTGGTCCGTCACACTAACAGTTACAATTATAAAAGACAAGTCCGTCCAATGTGACTATTTCAGTTTTCTCACTTGATGATTCACTAGNAAAAACGTTGTTAAAAATTAAAATACATAAACCATACAGTTTGTGTCAATAACCCCTGTCGTCTCTCTTCAAGGTGGCCGATGTTGTGCATCCTATGTAACTTGAGTAGGGAGATTCTTAATATTGTCCATTATGATTTCTTGGCCCGCTGTGCTGTTTCGATCCAAATGGATCGAAACATATAAGGCTATTGAATCATCAAGTGAGAAAACTGAAATATTCACATTGGACGGACTTATCTTTTATAATTGTAATTTGCAGTGTTGTCAGATTATTTCAGTTCCAATCAATGACACATGCAAATGCAACCAAGAATGGTGTAGTGGAATATAGCTTGCAAAGGAACCATGCATTTCCTAGTGCTTCTGGCTAATAGTGACTTAGCCATTGGTGTTTGAGCCACACAGCACTGATATGAAGGGTTGTTAAATCACTGCCAGATTGTAGAATTTTATTTGGATTTACTGGTGGTGCTCAGCCAAAGCAGATTCTTCTAACCAGTAGACAGGGAGTGAGACAATCTCCTTTGTAAGAAGGTGCACTCTACAGTATAGCGTTATGTTATCAACATGATTTGATCTGTGGTAAATAGGTATCTATGCCAATGACAGATTTAAAATTGCATTTGTAAATCCTTGTATGCTTCAGTACTGTTATTATTTTAGGATTTGAATTGTATAATGTGTAGACACTCATGAGTAACCAGTGTAGTTAGCTGAATTTGTTCTGTGAGTCCATTTGTAGTAGAGGAATTTTTTTTATGCCTGCTTGGATCCTTTCTGTGCATAAACGTAATTATGTCCAGTTACTAATACACATTTTATAATCCATTATTATTGATCTGTGAACATAATACTTTACTGTCTTACAGAATATGGCTGCTGGACTGCTAATGGCTGTATGTGCTGCCATCACAGTAAGTAATTTTTATTTATGATTCATTTTTTAACTATCACAGTTTGTATTTATTACATTAATTTGCTGAATGTTAATTAACATGCTCCATTGGTAATTTCTACTACATGGAAATTTTCACTGAAAGTAAAATGCAGATATTTGATCTGACCAATAATAATTGAATTTGCTGTTGGACATTTAGTTTTTTCTGCTTGAAATGTAAAAGGGACTGATATATAAAAATGAAACATCCCTGCTCCAACTCTAATGCATTTTTGTGGATAATATTTTGATGATTATCAGCCAAGTACATGAATATATACCTTTGTGTTCAGTAGCATGTTTGTGGGCTGTGCACTTAACCTTAACCAAGACATTTACACTAAACTCTGATACCATCATGTGTTGGTGTTATGCTTTGTCTAAAACATCTTTCGGGGTACATTTTAACTTAAGTATGCAATCTTACAGAGGGTTTTTTTGTGGAGCTATAAAATAAAAGTATATTTGGTATGGTGATTTTCGTTCCAATTAAATGTTGGAAGTAGAATTTAGTAACTTTCTAGTACAGGAATGATGATATCTCACACTCTGGTTATGATGCACCCTTGGAGTTGTTTTAGACACACAGTACATTCTGGCATCAACTGCTTTGCACCCTTTTACCATAAAGCCCACATATTTTACTCCTTACTTGTATATACACAAAGTATCTGAGAAATTATAACAGAAAAATGAACAGTTTCAAACATACAGATGTAGAAAAGTGATATCAAGATAATTTGGGAATTTTATGATTTATTACAAGTTCATGGGTCAGCAGAAATCTCTGCATTTTACAAATATTGCTGAATGCAATTCAACCTGAACCTGATAACTTAGATTGTAAGGAATTTATTATTTATCGAACTGCTTGGAATGGTTCCTAATATGATATCACAGGTATTGTATTTAAGTATAATAGAAAATATTCTTTTCTGGAATGCAAGGAGGAGGAGACGGTATTTAGATGAAAAACATATTTTCTAAACCCCTTCTCTAATCAATTCAACTATTTTGTCAGAGTATTTATTTACATAACAGTTTTGATGACCTAACATTTGAATTTAATTGGGATGGGAGACCAGAGTTTTATTCCTCTGACAGATGAGATTTTTTCTCTTTGCTGTCATTTTTATTTTGGCCCTGGAGCCTACTCAGTCTCTAATTTATTGAGCTTGGGGATCCCTTTCCTTGGGCTGTTTGAGACTGAATTCTTAGTGGTGTAGATACAGGAGGGTCTTTAATATTGTGTAAAGCATCTCTGAAGGTATGTTATACCTTATAGCAGTCTTATGGAAGAAAATTTTCTCTGTGTAATAACTCCACTATGGTGATACTGGTTCCCATTGTGCATTGAGAATAGAATGTACACACTCTAATGATAATGTAATGGTCTACATCATAATATTGCCATCTGTTGAAGTCTCAAGTATTTGAACTTGGAAAAATTGGGTGGTAGGTGATTGTTTTTAAGTTCTTTTAATGGGAACTTTGTGTGAATGCCTGGAGAACATTGCTGAGAGAGAGGGAAGGGGGGGATAAATGTGTATGATTTAAAATATTTAAGTCCTTATTTTCATTAATGATTAATGTTACGTCTTTCTTTGCTATGTAGTGTTAGTAACTGACATGTATACATGAACACTACTCTCTTGTTTTAAACAGGTGTCAGTGAGTGCAGTTGGTATACATGTAAAGGTAAGTAAATCCAGTTGTATCATTCTTGAAAATTCTTTCTGCTATGAACTTGAAGCATGTGGTTTAATGGTTCTTATTTTGTGCCCACATGATAATTGCAATTGTTCTGACAGTTACTACAATTTTTTTTCTTTTCCAAATATTGTTGTCACAAACACTTACATTACACGCAGTGTGTCATTCAGCTACAGTTTTCTGTGAAAGCTATGTACAAATCAGGATTTTAACCAGAGACTTTCTTTTCACTGTTAATAATTTTGGAATCCAGGGGGAGAATTTCTGAACTCACTGGTATGTAATAGCCCAAGTTAATACTATTTAATCCTCTCATATTGTAAGTCCTGAAATTTGATATAGTCAGTTGTAGAGTTAACAATGAACTTTACCGTTTCTGTAGTGTGAAGCAGATCATGAATGTGACAAGTATAACTACTGTTACACGTCAGGATACTGTGTACCATGTACAGACTGTGCATTCTATAAGCGGAAGAACCAGACTTCCTACCCATACTGTGCTAAGGAACCTCTGCAGTGTGGAGGGTGTCTGCCAGGGTGAGTATTATGCTGAATGCATAGTTATAAATTTACAGTTTTATTTCTTGACATGAATGAATGTATAAAGGATGGACCTTCTTGGCCGTAGCACTGCGACCATGGTGATCTATTATACCTACTTTTTAATGGCCTCTGTCTATGCATATAGCACTATTGCGGACCTGTGACTGTGTCCATGAATTTATTAGTGATGGAAAACAATTGGGCAGAATTATCTTGGTTACAGTGAATGAAGTACTTACCTGAAATCCCCCTTCTCCTGAAAGCCTTGTCAGACTCCACAGATACAGTCTCAGATGCCAGACCATAACAGGACATTGGAAGTAAAATATATTGTTCTTCAGGTAGTGCCCATCACTATTTCCAGTAGAATATTAGACTGTCAAAACCAGATTATGTGATGGGCAAAGAAACTGGCCAACTTATCCTAGTGAAATCTAACTGGTTATGTATGTTTCATCTGCTTTTTATCGCATCTTATACAAAATATCATGGCAGCTTTCTCACAAAATGACTTGTATTGTCAGGCCAATCTTACCGATAATACTGTGACTGCTGATAGTGATTGCCATCTCCACCAGCAAGAATCTATACTGGTTCTCCAAAGAATGGGTGTCAGGTTTGGAGAAACGTATTTTTTGGTGGGACCGGGGTCAGCGACACAATGAATTCATTGAGGATTATTATTATTATTATTATTATTATTATTTATTTCATCCATAGATGTAAATAATTACAATTGGACATGTCAAATATCAACAACCTCACATCAAAAATAACATAAGTAAAAAANCAAATAATTCTTAAGTTTCTTCTTAAAAACGTTAAAATTTATTACATTCTTTAATTCAGTTGGAAGGCCATTAAATATTTTGGTTCCCATACTGATCACCCCTCTCTTGCTATGCTCAGTATTAAAAAATTGTACATACAAATTGTGTTTATGAATAGTGTTATAGCCATGAACATCAGAGTATTGGGTGGTATAAATCTTATTTTTTATTATAAACATAGGATCTGAAAAATATATAAGGAAGTAACAGTTAAAATCTTTAATTCATGAAACAGATTTCTACAGGAAATCAAATTTTTAACACCTTTTATCACGCTTACACATTTTATCTGCAGTTTAAATAGAGTTTCAGAGTCCTTTTGCACACCACCCCAAAAAATAATACCGTATTTCAACACGGACTCAAATTTTACAAGATACACACTTCTTAAAACAGTTTGCCTCACTGAGTCCCATAGGGATTTTATCAAATAGGTAGTCTTGCTAAGTTTTTGACATATATTGGGTGTGGGTTGCCCAACTTAAATCTTCAGTAATGCAAATACCCAAAAAATGTTACATCCACCGAACAAACCACCTCATTATTATTTATATAAAAAAGGGTTCTGGTACTTGGAATAGATCTACTTCCCCGAAAAAATAATAATACTGTAACGTTGCGCAACATGTCACAATACCTTTGACTTATCCATGTTTATTATTAAACGATTTTCATAAAACCATTTTTCTAATTGATTCTTTACATTTTGAATTTTTTCATTTAATGATAAAATATTTTTCCCAGTAATCAATATATTTGTATCCTCAGCAAATAGTACTACCTCTGCATTATGTATAACTCGGGGCAGATCATTTATAAATAAGAGTAATAAAAGGTGTCCCAAAACAGAACCTTGAGGTACACCATATTTGATTGCAACGCTTAATTTTTTCATGAATAGTTCTGATGTGAGTGATCCTGGCCACCATAATCTATACATCTTCACCTATACAGTTATTTTTATGAATATTTCCAAAGGATACAGTTTAAAAACAATCTGCATATACTCAAAGAACTGATACAGAATTTTCACAGCAGTGATCAGTGTCAGCGTAGAACCTGCAGCTGCAGTTGTGCAAAATTTCTGATGTTGGCTCCTGATGGTGTACATGTGGAAAATGTGTTCAGACACATCAAATACAGCGAAGTGTTCTATGTCGATGGATAGTTTATGTCATTAGAAATGGGGTGTTTCTTCGAAGGACCCTGGCACTTTTGGTGCCAGTAGGCTTACTGAGCAGGAGTCTGTCCAGTGATGAATTAAAAATGGAATTAAGTTCAAAGACTGGATTGTAGGAGGTTGCATATGACGACTTACAGAAATTTCTTTAAATAATTGTATAATCATTGTCAGAAATAGTTGCTGAAGGAGGAGCTGGAACAGATCAGTCAGTGTAGGAAGAGGCTACATTCTGGATAGCCATGGTTCAATTCCCTGCAGTGGCAAGAGATTTTTCTGTTCTCCATAGTGGGTTATCTGCTGTTTTGGTGTGTATGCATGCATGGACATTATGAATGTGTGTTACTGAACCAGTTTTTATATCCATAAATCTGTGACTGTACTTTTCATCATATTATCAAAATAAATAGACAAGTTGGTTAACGGGATAAAAGATGATTGATTAAAATGTTAAAATTCTAGTTTGTATTGTAAATTGAATACTCCTGAACTTCAAAATATAATGTGAAATACAGTGCACCAAAAGTTATTAAACTGGGATTTTGCAGTTATAAATCTCTTATTCTACCTCATACATACATACATACATACGCACGCATGCATGCACACATGTACATACATCAGCGTTTCAGAATATTCACAAGTGTGCAACTGGCACTGAAAATAAAACTTGTCAAACAACAGTCACAAGACAATCACAGATAAAATCGCAGAAACATCAATTCAGCCATAGTTAAAATCGAAACTGAATACATCAGATAGATACAATGTTACACATACAATTATACCAACAAGATAATTAGCAATACATAATAATTCTCCTTCCTTAACTTACACTTACACTTAATGTCTATATTAATGCCTACTGTGGGACATCCATCAGTCAGCATGCACTCCCCTTCTATTCCTTAGCTGTTGATCCCGACAGAAGAGCAAAAATTCATCAACAATATATGACAGATTATGTATTAGGACATCTCTTATTTCATTTATAAACTGTTTTTTATCATGTACTAAGTTAGATAAATATCCGGGCAGACTGTTAAATATTTTTATGCTCATGCAATGGACCCCTTTCTGCCTCATTGTGAGATGTGATTGTAGGACATGTAAATTTCTTTCTTCGTCTGTTGCATATAAACTATGCAGTTGTATTTTATTACTCAGAAACTTTTGTGTTCTTTTCTAGGTTTGAAGAAGAAATTTTTACAGGAGGGAATGTTAGAGATCTTTGTATTTCTGCTGACTCACCACTGGACGCAAATGATTCACCTACGTCATTAGTTCATATTTATATCATTCTTGGCATCATTGCTGGTGTTTTACTTTGTCTCTTGCTTGCTGTTGTTTTCTTTTTTGCCAGAAGGCTCTGGCTGAAAGGTAATGTTCACCTCCTACTGAGATTTATGTCTTATAATTATTGTTACTGTGGCACCTGGTTATGTAGTTTGTTGAGGCACTATGCTACAAGCTGGAAGGTCATGGCTTCAAGTCCCGATGATGTAGCTTCTTTTCAATTTATCTAATCCATCCAACTGCATTGTGTCCCTGGGTTCAACCCAGCCTCTAACAGAAATGAGTATCAGGAATCTTCCTGGAGCATAGAGGACAGCCAGCACAAAAGGCTGACAACCTTACTACCATCTGTGAACCGATTTTCTAGAGAAAATGTGGGAGCCTCGATGTCTCACAGCCCTATATGCCATCATGACCTGTTACAGGGAAAACTTTACATTTTTTATAATTATGTCATTTTTATGTGACAGCAGTAACAGTTCTTCCAGATTATACATGTATTAACCTGATAACCCATTATACAAATATTTTGCCGGACATTGTCAATACTCCGGAGTTTAACATGCATGTTTAGCTGTTGTTATCAGGTATAGAAGGTGGTCTTACATTGTTAGATTCAGTAGAAAGAGCTAGTCGTGATCAGTGGATAGTGAACAAGTGAACCAGACTAGCTCTTTCTAACAGGGACAGCAGAGCAGAATCCTCCCCTCTGCATCTGACAATGGGAGTGGATCCAATATTTGAAACTTGTATATTGAATGCAACTCAAGAGACATTGACAGTGTCCAGAAAAATATTTATATAAATAATTCAACCATTGTCGCAGACATTTAGTGAATCAGTAGTAACTCATACTACAAAATCAGTTTTGATTTCATAACTTTGGCCCTTGCATTATTAGTAAGATAACCTCAATCGTTCATCAACCACGTGGATTACACTTCTGAAACATTTAATGAGTGGCAAAACCACAGTTGGTGAGACCATGACCTGATAGGAAATTTGGTGTTAAGGGAACCATGAAAATTGTTTATTTCTCCTTAACTACATTTTCTGTTTCTTGTACTAAAACTTTGTGTTGAAGTTTTTACACAAGTTAGTAAGATGCCGTTGAAAAGTAAGAGGAAGCGAAAAGACTGCCTAAATCTGTCAATTGTTATCCTTGTTGTAGGATGTGCCCAGCATGTTCAGGAATGTAGTGATCAGGGATCTGAGAACCCACCTGTGTACACTGAACCACTACTGGAGCTAAGGGACATGGGTGAGTTGTTTGGCACAGCATGCAGAATAACTTGTTCACATAGACTGGCTTGAGTTCCCAATCTTGTGGAAGTATAAACATTGTTCACAACACAGATATTAAAGGCTTTATAGGAGTACAGTCAACTCTCGACTATCTGGGGGGCGGATTAACCGGTTTGCGGCTTAACCGGGGCTACTGAGGCTTTTTTGAGGCTTATATGTTGTTTAATATTCATTCACTTTTGTTTCACATGGCGAGTTGTAACACTGTTTTCGCGCTAGTGTGAACCGAGCTCTGCATTCTTTGGTCCTGTTATGCTAACACAATGTTCTAGGGTAGGGGAGAAAGAATGCAAGGATTTGTGGAAAGTTTCAAGGACAGATACATCGCCCCAGTTAGTATCTTTGTATCGATCTTCAAGTGCATTAGCAAAATGTCAGGGTGTAAAAGGAAGCGTGTTGTGTTAAGTATTCAACAGAAACTTGAAATTATCAATCAGTTGGGAAAAAAGAGGTGTAGTTAAACAATTAGCAATGCAATACAGTATTGGAGAACAAACTGTTCGAGATTTGAAAAAACAAAAGTGAGAATGAGGAAGAGGTGGACAGTGCTGCTCTTAATCATTTGGAATCCTTACTAGACTATCTTGAGAGTGAAGATAACAGTTTATTAAGTGACAAGATAATATTTTGTAGGCTTCATACGGATATCTGTAAAGAGGAAAATGCCGCGAAAAAGCAAACAACAATATTAAATTTTTTGAGTGTTAAGTGTTGGATGTTGTTGAACACTGTGATTGAAATAACTAATTCATACTTCAGTGTAATGTAAAAAAAGTATTAACTAGGCCATGAGATGACATAAAAATGAGGTTGAATAAATTTAAATACAGGTAGGCCTATAGTATTATGAAGGTACAGTATTACAGTACTACTTTTAATAAAATTTGTTTTAACTGGGTTTTCGATTAATCGTGATTTCCATCCCCACCATTATCCCGGATAATCAATAGTTGAGTGTATTTTCCAAACTTTGAAGTATGCCTCATTTTTTGGGAAAGGATGCAGTGTCGGTGTAATGAAAATTGTTACCTTCATTTGTAATTACTGATTTAGCATAAATAGAACAATAATTTGTGTTTAGGGAGATGCTTCATACAGTTTATAGAACACTAAAATGTTAATCCAAATACACTGTTGGAGTCTAACAAGGGCCCATTGAGAAAAATGTGAAAATTCAATTCAGTTCAGTTCAGTTATTTATTTATTTACATGCTTGATTGACAGTGCAAAGGTCAGTTATAAAATAAACAGAAGCAAAAGTAGCAAACAAAGCAAACATACAGACTGAAAGAATTCAGTAAGTACAGTCATGTCATCAATTTTATGGTGAGAAACTCTTATACATACATTCATATTGAATATAATTAATATTTTAATAATCATGAAACTACAGTGATAAAATTGAATGCATAGATATTGAAAACTGTTTTTTTAGTGTATGTATGGAAAATCTGTTATGTATCTGTACGATCTCATCCCATTTGTCATTAACTGGCCCATAACATAGTATTAACAAGTTTTATACCTGGCCACTGTGATTGCTGTGATCCTTCTTGCATCTGTTCTGCCTGGGCTCGAGAATTACTCAGGCTTAGATGGGCAGCTTCCAGTATTTTTTCCCCGTAATTCAGAATGAACACTGCGCTTATGATTTTTCATATATGAGATATTGTAGTAAATATATATTTTGGATGACTTGCCACTGGATGACAGGGAGGTACTGAAAATATCACATTTTTTTTAAAGGAAATTTAGACAAAACTGGCTTCTTTGTACAGACCATAACCTCAACAAACCTCATGGTAGTAAATATGCTATGTAAAACTTGAGGAAAGTTAATTAATCCAGCGCTTTAACAGTTTGCATATGATGCTGTGGGATCCAGCCACAGTGAATCAAACGCTAGCCAATCATTGCAGATCACAGCAGCTCAAATTCCCATTGGTTACGCACTGCATAGCAACAACATAACTTTGACACGCTAGCCATCAATCATAAATCTGAGTACATTTACAGCTACAACTAAACCTGCCGATGATGGTGCTTCTTTGGAAATTCGTGAAACAAGCCTGAAGATCTGTGGGGAGAAGGAGTCTGTTCAACAAGCAGTGCCTTTTACAAATGCTGACTCACCCTACAATGAGTAAGTGCCAGCTTTGACTTTTACCAGCTGTTCCTTGAGATGTTCATGGTTTTCCACAGTCCTTGAAAGAAAATGCCAGGATAATGATTTGAATAGGCCATGGCTACTTCCTTCCAAATCCTTATCAGTTCATTATTTACCAGCCAATCTACCATTTGACACTACATAGTCTTGAAGTACAGCATTGTATTATAAACAACAGAGTACTTCTTGATAAGCAGGTTTTGAGGATAAATATCTGTGGAAAGGAACTTGTCTCCATGACTTGGAGTCAGAAACATAACATTAAGGCTGGGGCCACACAAGCGCACAAAATGCATCTGTTGTAACAAACGTTGTGACATCCGTTGTAGAAATAAACAAGAGAGGTGAATGCTACGCTTTCTTCTGGTTCCATTGCAGACAAAAAACTATGCACGTCATTCTGTAACTGTGTGGTGTCCTCAGCAACGTCCGTCATAAAGTACGTTTGTTGGAACGGACGTACTTCGTGCGCTCGTGTGGCCCCAGCCTAAGTCATTTAAGCCAATCATGTACATTTTTGATACTGCCATTCAGTTAATGGATAGCAGAGATGTTTACACAGATGTCACTGCTGTACTCACCTTGTTGGCTTCTGTTCTGATGTAGAAAATAGTGAAATTAATAGTGCAACATTCAGTTTCATGATCTAAGTCTGTATTAATTTTCCTCCATTCAAGATTTTCCTCAGTATAGTGTTGAAATACATTGTTCTTCCAAGACGTTTTAGATGGAAGTTCCGCTGTAATATCACTTTAAACAGATGACAAAAATCAGTCTGTCGTTGTAAGTGAATGCCCTAAATATGTTTGCCAGCTCACAAAATCAACCCTCCTAAGGTGAGCCTTGTGTGTGTTCATGCTCACACTTTCACATTTCCTGTAGTTGTGTTGAATTTAATCTCATATAAAGAAATGGTTCATATCTTGTACTTAACAGTTTATGTACCTTTTTATATATATATATAAGAGTGTGTGTATGTTCTTATTTAAACAGTTGGGAAGAGATGGGAGAAGCATCAGGAGACAATCCTCCAGCAATTCAGGATGAAGACACACTTGAAATTGTGTGGGTCCCTCCACCGTAAGTCAGGCCTTCCAACATTCTTAAAAGCATGTGTTTCAACAACATTCAAACTTCATACAAATTATCAGTAATACATGACCACTTCATACATCAGCTGAACAGAGACAATATTGCTTGTTCTCATGACATGCATGCTTCAGGTGAATGAGGATAATAAACTCAGTTGTGTACTCATGTAAAAGTAAAGTTGTCCATGTACTCAATTGGGGGTGGGCTTGATAGGCTCCAGCCTTAGTCTGAACGTTATGAAGAAGTGAAGAGTCTCTTGTCTCTCCTGGGAATTGAATTCCAACGTTTTGTGCATCCATCCCATAGCCTTGCTGCTGTATTGATTGAACTGTCATATATATATAAGTAATTCTAATAAGACCTGCATTTAAACACTGTAAAGGTGTTTAAATTTTATGGACCATGTGTTATGTTATAGTAATGGTGCATGTGTGAGGTCTGGCTGTTTGAACATTACATATTTTAAATACTAATACCGTTATCCAACCGCCTCTATGGTCTAGTGATCAGAGTTGTGGCTACAAATCCAGAGGTCTGGGTTCGATTCCCGGTGCTACCAGATTTTCTGAGAAGTAGTGGGTCTGGAATGGGGTCCACTCAGCCTCATGAGGATAATTGAGGAGCTATTTCAAATAGCGGCTCCGGTCTAGAAAACCGAGATTAACGGCCGTGGGGATTCATTGTGCTGACCATGTGACACCCTCAATCCACTAAAGTTGGCACTAACTTCGCCGACAAGAGGTGACCGCTCGGTCAATATAGTTCACTTGTGGACTACAGGCCCCAGAGTTTAATACCATCCCTAGACCCCAAGTTAAAATGTCTACCAGCCCCATGTACCAGGGATTTAGTCACCTGTTCTTTGTTGATAAATGTCTACTTCATGCCGCTGTTCCCATTTAATTCTATTTTACTCATGATTTATTGATCATCCTTCATTTGTTAAAATTTGAAAATGTAATTGCAAATTCACAATAGTTTGGAAGAAATTTTGTTTCATTCTATGTACAGTTCCATGAATAAACACAAATGCAATACATTGCTTTCAGATATTCAATACTGATACTGTTGTTGTAGTCAGCAGTACTTCTGACTACTGGGAAGTCTGTCTTATTTAAACAGAGTTTAAATATTTTTTTATTAACGCGTCATGCATTATTTATAACTGTTAATTTGGACTCTGTCCTTTGTTCCAAGTTTAGTAAAATTTCTGTTTTTTGGAAACAAGTTCAGTTTCCATCTTCAGGTGAGAAAGGTATTGAAACGTACTATATTGATCCTTTTGGTAGAGCTACTCTTGAGTCATGATTTTAGGATTACTTCTACTAAGAATTCTAACGGTAGTTCTTTATTTTATTCATCTGAAGACTGAAATCGATCCAGTTTTCGAAAGAAGGCTGTTGTAATAAACTTAGATGATGGATAAAGTCTGAAGTAATACTTGAGCATTCGTTCATTCAACATACCATGCACATGATAATATGTGCATATCATATCATAATATCATATCATATCATAATATCATATTTTTAATAAAAGTGTGTATATCTTCAGTGGATATGGACAACAGGCATCAGCAAATGTCACAGACAACTCAAACAATGAAGCTGAGGCAAGAGCCAATGAAGTGCCCGATTCAAGCGAAACTGCAAATCCAGCCACTACTCACGATTCAGGACTCTCATCAAACTCCTCTTGTGGAAACTCATCGGGCAGTCTTCCACTACGGCCCTTTGAAGGTATAGGCTCTTCACCTGCAAGTCTCCCTGTCCAGCAACCATTGACAACAGCACATGCTCGAAGTCTTTCTGATGAAGATGTCAGTTCTGATTCTCTTGTGACAAAGCGAGCCAGACGTGATTCTCATACTCAGTCTCTCGATGAAGATGCAGTACCAATGAATGTGGTGGTAATAAATGTACAGCAGTCTACAACTACAGTTCATAAATAGTTCAGAATTGTAACTATATCAGTTTCTTAAATCTTTGAAACTAATTTTTTTAGTAATCTAGCATTTACTGTGCTTCACATTCTCTATTTTGGGAAGCACAGATTGTTTTTATGTAATTAAATATAATTTGTTTTTATGTAATGAAATATAAGTAGACTGCTCGTGTTATTTTGATTAATAATTTTCACCACCATTCAACATTTTTAATCACTGCTGATTATTGACCTTAACAGGTTGACTTCTTTTGACTTGAGAATATATGCCACATTGTGTTTCAATGTGTGGGTTATTGATGTGCCAACAGACTGCTGTGTGCTGTAGCAGATTTATATTACAGGATTTCCCTTGGGGTGGGGGGACATCTTCTGTGGTTATTCTAGCACTAAGATAACCGTCATAAACTTTTCCAATTACAGTCACATTACTTATCCATAATTTTCTTTTTACTGCATCTATATTTTCTAATCTCCTTAAAGACAATCCCGTTAAAGCAGTCTCTCACTAAGAATCTGTTTCTCAAGGGCTTAATACAAGAGTGTTTAATTTTACTGAAGTGAACCCTCTCAAGCTGGACAGGTGTATGTGCAGATCTGTATGGGAAGGAATGCAATTAATGGATGTTAAATGAAAACGTTTATTAAAAATGTGTAATGTGTAAATTTAATTTTACAAACTGTGATGATAGATTTTGATGAAAGAGACTTAGAATTTCTGTTTTCCATGATAGCATGGTGATCGATTTGAGGAAAACAGAAATTATTTTTATTATAATTATACTTGCAAACATTTTAAAACTAGACTATGTCAGTGATACATAATATAGTAGCCATTTGAAAGTGGAACTGGCTTATACTCTTCCAAGAAATGGTTTATAAAGCATATTACTTTCTGTTCTCATTTATAGTAGAATGGACTAATCTTGACATGTTCATTCTGCAAGTTTTATTCATTCATATACATTTACATCTTATTTTTATGCATAATCCTACTTTGTCAGTTTTTGAGCTTCAAAATTTGGATATAATGTGGAAAATTTTGGAATTTCTAAATGTGCCGTAAGTTGTATGTTCTCTTTCCCCACCAAGTCCATACTACTGTTGTGTGAAATGAGCAGCAGACAAAGCAGAAGTCATTCTATGTTACATACTGACCACAGAGGTTATTAGTTGAAATTATGTGACTAGGATTTTAATATAATTATCACTGATATGAAGCAAATGTTAATTCTGTATTATTGTTACTGATTTCACTTGTTCCAATTTAACATAATAGGTTGTAGAATGTTAGCTCTTTTTTTTACAGTTTCGCCCATGTTGGCATAAATTGCATGATGGTAAGTTGGCACTGTTGATGTTATTATCCACAGTGCACATTTCTTTAACATAAAGTGATTTCTATAATAGAGCCATTTTCAGGAAAAGAAAACATTATCAGCAGTTCATTAGTATTCCAGAGCACATTGGTAGTGTTGTTCATCTCCATGACATGCATCTGATCAGCATGATTATAATCATAAGAAACAAACTCTCTGAAGTGTTTTTAAGTTTAATGCTTTTAAGAATTTTGATATTTGAATAATGTGTTTGTTTAGTGCCTAAGGGGTTTTTGTATTTGTAAGGATTACAAAACTTCTTAGATCCTTAAAAGTTGCCTAGATGTTTAAACTATTTCAAAAATTTTAGACATTGGTTAAATTTTGGAGCATATAATAGTGTTACAGCTGAAATACTTTATTTACCCAAATGCAACATGAGCTTGATGTGCAGAAGAGGAAAATTGTGTCAATTATTTCATTCAATAAAAAGTAAAATCTTCTCATGATTATTTACAGGTGTGCCCAGTTAATAGCTCGCTTTATGCAGTTCAGTATTGCTTTAAACTTTTACTGAATTGGCATTAAAGTCATCCTTTGTACCATGTTACTTCATATTTACATTTGAAAGAAATTACTAGTGTTATCATTTTCTTCCTACCACCATTTAATTTCTCTAGTTTTGCCGATTAGAAAACTGTGATGTCGTCATTCAGTACTTTAATGCAGGTATCTACAATAATATCCTCAAGCTGACCTTTCCCTTCAGTATCTCCCTGACAAATTTGACTGCACTTCCCAATCCTGTAACACTACTGATACTGTAGAAATATTGTTTTCCAGGCAGGATTGATCTCTGAATATGTAGTGTTGTTAAAAATACACTTTTGTTCAGATAGAAAATAGTCATCTTGCATTCGGGTAAATATATCTTCTTGCAGCTGATTATTTTATGAGTACAGAATATTTTTTAGTCAGTACTTACTATTTGAAATGTTGATTATAATATGTGTGTTCAGTAGATTCCTTGATTATCTGCAATAATTGAGGGGAAAACTACTGTAAATAATTAGAAATAACGTTCATATATATCTTTAGAAAACAATTTATATATCAGTATTAAGTGAGACATTCGTTTTAATTGTTATGCTCAGATTGTATTAAGGGAGTGTTCTCTGTAATTAAGATATTGTTACATGATTGAGTGACTACAGACAGAATTTGGATTGGTAATCGGATTTATTGGACTCCTTTAAAGATGCAGCTTGGGACTACACAATTCACTGTCACATAAAGACCAGTGTTCTCAGTCAGTCTTCACTGCTCTGCTTGGTAACAGCTTCCAACAGTGGACATTCCTCTGCCCCCAGGCTCATGTCCTTGCAGGCTTGCAGCCATCTCACACCAACCTCTTGCTCTTCTAACTGCCATCTCAAGACTGCCTCATACTCAAAGTCAAAATCACATTGTGACTGACAATCAGCCAGCCAATCAGTCTAGGTGTCAAGCCCGATATGGTGCTCATGACCAGATATTTATTACTGTTACACAGTTAACAGTCTTGTTGTTGTAGGGTGCCCTCTCTGACAAGAGGACGGGTTTGTCTTTTGTCAGTCATTATCTGCAGTAGTAAGTCATTTGTCATAATGTAAAAGATGTTTACATTTTACATATTAAACATGTCAGAAACGTATATACAATATCTACAGGACCTCTGTCAGTCCAGGATCAGTACAGCAGATTTTGCCCTATTTCTAGTAGCTTCTGCTACTTCATAATGGCAGCTGATACTATGAGGTACTCATTATATAAACTTGGTACAGACTGCACGAAAAACACCACTTCCAACAGTTACTCCATTGTTGCGTGTTACACGACCGTTACGTAGCAGTGGCTGTTTTCCTGATGCCGCAGTTCTTGCTGTGAGCAAATATGCCACAATATAAATAATGGTGTCTCACATACAACATTTATCCAACATTCTTCTCTGAAGTTTAACTACATGAGTATACTAAATTATTGGAGTTAATATGGGTTTTCACATAATGGATGAGCTACTGATTAGATGTTGAAGTATCATAGTAGCACAGTGGGTTAATAATGGACTGTGAGGTTCACACAAGGACGAAGTATTGCACAACATTCTCATTGAAAGTGATACACATTGCAATCACATTTTAGGCAAGGGATGATTCCTGAAGACCTGCCATAATTCAAGACTAGTTTTCTCATTCTTGCCAAAATTTTGAGATTCAGATTATTTCATACTTGATGCTTAAAATTAGACTTTAATAATATTATTTTATATTAAGCTATTTGAAATGTGCACAAAATGTACCTGTGAAACCAGTTGGACTAATTAAAATGTGTTTCATGAAACTTGCAAGTTAAATCTGCATAGGTAAACATTTGATGCCTTTCCTATTTAATATGGCCAGAAATACTGTCATTGTCATTTCTTTTGTGGAATTGTCCTTTTGTTACTGATGTGCCTCCTGTTGTGATCTGCTATTTTCTGGCCATGTTTTTGGTGCCTTCCTGTCTGTCTACATTGGGTATTCAGACTTGTCTTATGCTTCAAACACTGCTACATTATTTACCTTTTGTGTGGTACATTTGTTTGACACATGAAAAATGTTTGAAATAGCCGTATTTTGTTCATTTGGAATGTTACAATCCTTCTAATATTTGTTTAGTATGAAATTTATTGTGTGCATCCATGTATGTTTTTGTGTGACATTTAGCACCTTCACAACTTTGTTGACAGGAGCCAATACATATCCTCTATTTAAATCATATTTTGATATATTCCTGTTATGTTTTGCACCTTATTTGTTCCCTATACCTGTCCTCAGCTCAGTGTCCCATGTAAGTACAAATGCATTATGAACATTGTTCATATATGTACTTCTCTTAAAATTTGCCCTTGGTCTGGGTTTGTACTCTGGCATTGATCGTATAACATTCTTAACTTTAAAGGCCACCCACAGATTTGTGTTTTGAACATCTTGACAAGTATCTGAACGTGTTTATTCATTAAATATGCGTGAAATTAACCCTCTTCTTACTAAGTGGTCTTGTTGTGTTATGGCTTCTATGTGCCTTCGGAGTTGTCATGTTTATTGCTTTTCATGTTCTGTGGATCGTCCTTATATGCTGTCTGTCTTTATTGTGTTTCTTTTGTTTTGTCTTTTACTGTTCTGAGTAATCTGTTAGTTCTGCAAAGAATATGGTGTTCTTGCATGTCGTTGGAAATATTTTCTATTAAGTCTTTGTTATCAATGTTTGTTGCAGTTCAGGTTGTCTAGGTATGTTCAGAACAAGGACACTAAGGCGACGCCATAGCTCAGGCAGGTAGTTGCTGGCTTCCCAATGTGGCGGCCCAGGTTCGATCCTGGGTCTGGTCAAGTGGGATTTGTGGTGGACAAAGTGGCGCTGGGGCAGGTTTTCTCTGAGTACTTCAGTTTCCCCTGCCAATCCTCATTCCACCAAATTCTCCATCATCACCACCCAGGGCAGGTACAATAGGCCAATGAGTGGCTGCTATGCCGAGTGGACCCAGCTGGACTCCACCCCCCACTAAGCAAATTAAAAACGCACTAAGGACACTAACAGTTTACTCATCTTCTGTATTCTATAAGACCTTGTCATGAACCAGCTGTCATGTGGGCCATATCAGAGGTTAAGATATCTCTGTATTGTGCATATTTTAAGAGTTTGTGTATTCCCATTCTGTAGTCTTTTAAGGGAATATTAAGATACATATGTTGAGTGAGAACTTACATGTGGCATTACTGCCATAAAACTTATGAACTGGTCACATTGTTGTGAATCTTTGATGTTGCATATGGTATTGAGATGCAAGTTCAAGAATTCTCATTAGGAGGTTCAATGTCTTTTATCCTGGTGCATATATAATTTGTTACTGAACTTGTTGGTGTGCTCAGTTTGTGTAATTTTATTTGAATGATGTCACTACACCTTGTCACCAATGTTAGCTTTATGCCCAACTCCCAACATTGAGGACCAGGGGCTGCCTTTTGTCTAGCCGCTGTCCTCCAGCCTGTCTAGTATGCGAACCTACCTGGAACTTATGGCCACACTAATGTAGCTCTCCAGGTGATTGGAGCATCTAAACTTCCTGCCATGTTAAGCTTGTAGCCCAGGCCAAGGACTACACAACTGTAACTGCTAAAATGTAGTTAGTTTCTGCAATAACTATACTGTATTGGAGAGGTACAGGATGACTTCCCCTTTTGATCACCTTTTGTTTACAAAGAATCTGATACCTTAAGAGAGAAATATAGAAGGTAATGTGAAGATGCATAATACTTTTGACTGTAGGCAGTGTTTAATTACCAGTAGTAAAACAAACAAGCCAAAAGCTCTGCAGTTAATCCTGAAATAATAAAAGTCTGCTTTATTTTAACTGCCTGATTTTTTATGTATGTTTTTGAGATGTTCTTTGTATGTTTGAAATATAATTTTATAATTATCAATGTAGATATTGCAGTTGTTACCTGAAAAGAACTCTCACTTTGATTGAATATTTATGTATGAATTTTTTTCCTGTAAATGCTGGAACCAGTAGTTTTCATTAGCTGTATTCCATAATGTTACTCATGCCATAAATATATTGTATTGTAGAAGTGTGGTGTAGTGTGATGTATGCATTTATAAATTTGGCACTGAAATTTCGTGCAATAATGTATTTATCAGTGTAAAAAAAGTAAAGCTCTCCCTGTAACAGGCTGTGAAGGCCCATAGGGTTGTGAGACATTAAACGAGTCCCACATTACCTTGACAGTCGGCTCAAAGATGGCGGTAAGGTTGTCAGCCCTACGCGCCGGCCATGCTTTACTCCCCAGGAAAATTATTTAATTCCTGGTACTCATTTCTGTTAGAGGCTGAGTAAACCCCAGGGCCTAGTGCAACTGGAAGGATTAGGTAAATTGAAAAAAATCCAATGACCTCATCGGGATTTATCAGTGTATGTTGCACCTAATATTCTAGCCTCAAAACAGTGGTGATTCAGATGATGTGGTGATGTGTGATTCAGAACATTGAACTTTCCTCTTGTTACATAGTTTGGGAGAAGTGAAAGGAAACATTCCCTGTACACAGAGTTTGGCATAGGAAACGTGCTGTGCCCATTGAGAAATGTGCTCAGTTTGAAGTCAATGTCCATATGTAACGTAGTGAAGAGGTGCTGAAAAGTAATATCAGATATCCTACCATAAAGGATGGGTGCAACTACCAAAATGTACATTTGTAAATTGAAATAGTATTTCTATGACAAATTCTTCCATAGAGCATCCAAAAAACAGATTTCTGGAGAATATTTAACAATTAGATTAGTTTTTAGCTACTTTTTATGGTGATTTCATATGATACTGCTGTGATGCTCTAATGATTTAATTTGTGTTGGCAGTCTTGAAAGTGTAACTTCTTGTCGTGTTTGTAAACTGTTATGCTACATTTTCACTTCCACAGCATGTTGCAACCGTATACATCCATCATCAGGTAGATACTTTTATGTAATTGCTTAACTGTACTGCTTTTCTTGGTTTCTTGTTCGGAAAGGTTGCAATATGTTTGAGGTTTATACTCTGTATGCTGTGGTATTCATGGATTTTAAGTGGCTACTGAAGGTGACATGTTTTTTGGCAGTGTTATGTTTCTGTGGCTGTTCTGGTGACATTTATAAAAGAGTGACAGTGTAGCACACCAACAGTCTATGAGCATGACAAGAAGTTGCACCTTCAAAACTGCCCAGACAAATTAAACCATTAATGACTAACAGGATGCTGATATTCATGAACAGTGCTGCTGTAAGCCTATTGAGAATTTCCATAAGCAATTCTCGCATGATTGTATGTGGTTAACAAGCTTTATTACATAATTTTCTGTACAAGTTGGTGACACTTTGAAATTCTGAGGTGATAAAAATTGTACATGCAAGAAACTTCTTTGCTGGAAATTATGACATATTCTTGTGGGCCTTATGGCAGGACTTCTAAATGAAACTGGAATGAGGAGAGAACTTATCTGGGAAACTCTATATTTGAAATACTTTTTATAATAGTCCTTGACATTTTGTGTATGTGTGCTTGTATAAAGATTTTAGCATACTGTGATTTATCAAATGTGTTCCTGCTGAGAAGCCCACTGTGGAGTCTGGTTGAGTTGCATCTCAAAATATCCTCATACAACCAAATGCTCAAATACAGTGAAATGTCGATAAAATGTAAGGGTACATAAAAGTTTCATTTTTAAGCAGTATTTTTTATTCCCAACTCCATCAATATAGGTACATCTCTTGATTGTAAAATTAAATATAAGTGGTGCTTTTTGGCATAATGGTGATATTCTAGGTTTGTATTTGGATAGTCTTCAGTTTGAATTTCAGGTGGGACACCAGCTGTCTGTCCTGATATTTTTGTGGTTTTACTCAGGGCCTCTGGGAAAGAAATAAGAAAAGTGCCTTGATTTGGACCATGGTCCTATCCTTCCAAATCCTTTTCAGTGTTATGCCTTGGTTCTACCATTCAGCTTCAGTCTGGCTGTTGAGACTATCATGAAATAACCCACAAAGAAAAAAAAAAGAATATCTTAAATGTATAAAATGAAATAAACTGTTGCATATGTGTAATTTTGGCTTTTGGAATTAAGTCATGTTGTACATTGAAATTGTTTGAACATTTTATTGTCCATTGCAATTGTCACATTCAGGATGAATGAGGTGGATGCGGGATATGTTCTTTAGATTGGTCTCACATTGGAAATAGTGAGTCTGGGCCGTGATATTACTCAAGGAGAAGTTGTGTCCTGATATGCCTTTGGCAGTAGGCTTAAGGATTGGATGTGGAGCATGGTGCTATTCCCTGTCTGTCGAATACACCATGCTCCCTAACCATTTTCATTATGAGTCCACTAGGCCACGTCATCCTTTTGTCTCATTCGCCCAGAAGTTTTGATTTAATGTATTCTGTAACAGAACAGACATGGCATAATCCTCGAAACTTAAATTACAAAATAGGCGTAAACAGCAAAAATGTAAGGCTGAGAACTATTGCATGCATCTGACGTTAACCATGTAACACTATTTTATGCTGCAGCGAAATGAATTATGAAGTATGTGTTTACAAGACAGTAACAGAAAAGTATGGCAGAAGGGTGCTAGTAACATATAACCAGTTAAAATTTGATTATTACATCAAAATGTGTGCTGAGTATAATGAAGACTGATAAACCTCCAGTTCTGACACATTGTTTTTGCCATTGTCATATGGAACTTAGTGAGACAGCGTCAGCATTTGTGAGGGGGGGGGGATTGTTCATATGACATAATATTGAATAGCAGAAATGGTGGAATTTAAATCTGATGAGTACATGTAAGGATCCAGAGTTGTGAGATTAAGCAATCAACTTTTTGCACAAATAAAAGATTTTATACCATCACAGACCATTTTGTTAAACATAATCTGAGAAACCAGTTTTCATCTTATGGATGCAAGCGCTGGTATAGAGATGGGCTACAGGCTGGATGACCAAGGGGCTGAAGTTGGAGAGTCCTGGTAGTCAAGAATTTTTCTTTTTCTGTGTCGTGCATACCATCTCTGGGGCCCACTCTGCCTAACATCTAAAGGGCATTTGAGGCTCTTTGCCTGAGAGTAAAGTGGCAGGAGCGTGCAGCTAACCACTAATCTTCAACTAGTGCCTAGGTCAAAGAACGTGGGTCTATACATCAATTTCATCATGCTTCTTCATGGTCTAGTGCATAATTAGTTGAGCACATGAACAATTTTACCTTTATGGATACATGTGAGACCGATTAAACAAGCACAGAAATGCAGTTAAAGTAAGGAGTTCTGTTGCAATAGTAGGGCTTAAAACTGCTCAACGGTATACACGTTAAGTCCTTTGAAGGAAGAAATCCTGGAGGTCAAATAGTTTCTCTTATTACCGACTTGTCCTTCTCACCGGTGAACTAAAAAACATACGTATCTAATAACGTCACAGGACGTGATACGTTCGATTCATCTTTGACTACCGATATATAAAGTTATAGGTATGTATGAAGTAATCTGTGATCACTGCATCTACTCTTATCCCTGAATGGCAATGTGTCATCGGTGTAACGTGGTTGCAAACTTAACCTACAATAGAGTGATTTGAATTGCTCTGCAATGTCACTCCAGTTCGAAAAGTTGTGTTCGTTGATTTTATTGGAGCATTTTGGGGAAATTATTCAAAAAGTTGGAAATGATTTATACAAGTGTCAGTCAAAGCCATTGAACTTGATAGTAGGAAGTACGAAACTGCCTTTTCAAAAGGTAAAAATATAAATGCAACAATTATTTATTGCCAGACATACATGTAATATTTACCTGTGATTTATTTAACGACGCTGTCAGTATTTAGAAGTGTATAATTATGACATAAGTCAGAAAATAACGTAGTTATAGTTTTGTTTACCATGACTTTGGTTGCATGAGTTATTAAGGTCCACTGCAAACGCAGTATGAAGTAGATCAAATAAATTGAAGCCACTTGTTCGCTGGATTCTCTCTCGATGACCAACCAAGAAGATGACAATCTCAGTTGTAAAATATAACAATGCTGATGCCAACTGCTATTATTTATGTGTGACCTTATTACAGTCTGCCCACTGAAGTGTTTTGGTACTGTAAGTTGCTAAAAGAGTTTAGCACTGCAAGGTCATTCAGAGGAGACTGTAATGGAAATTGTAGTGTTATTTACATATATATTTTATAGCTAGATTAGAGGAAGGTTCTGTTCTGGAATGTTGTAGGCTGAAAGAATGATATAATAATAAATCTGAAGTGTTGATTTCCTAGGTGAAACAGGCTTTGCGAATCATGATTCAGTATGGATTTGTGACATTTGCTGAGGGACAGTTTCCTGACAAAGCAGAATATACATTGTTAGCTGATAAAGTCATTCTTCTACTTCGTTATCCCAGGTAGGATTTGGAAAAAAGCAGCTTACACTTTCTGAAGTTGACATGGGCATATTGTATCAGTATTAGTGGATACAATAGTTTATGAAATATTTTTAGATATTTGTTGTTAATGAAGACACAATATGGTGATGAGGCAGAAATGCTAGTAGAAGAAATCCTTAGACGAGGCCAGGATACTGCCTCATCTGTTATCATTAGAGCAGCTACAAGACTGAAGGAATCACTGAAAGGTAACACATCCAATTTTTGCTGAAGGGACGTTGTATTATAGAAGTAATGCATCAGTCATTGAGTGGGCTGAGGCTTATCATATGAAAATGAGTTGTGTTTAAATTGTACAACATTTTGAAGTTGTATCTACTTCAATTATCTGGTATGAAAAGGTGAAAGAATCCTTAGTTGGGCCCATTAAAAGGCACTAGTTTCAGTTACTGGGCTATCTGTGTCTCATGCATGCTACATGTCTTCCCCATTTCATCTGTTACTAGTATGTATCTTAACTTGTTTTTATTGTAATACATTACAGTGGAGAAAGTATGTTTGGTGACACTACATGATAAGTTTTCGGTTCTTGTAAATAAACAATTCCTGATGCGCTGCCCATCACCTGATGAAGAGAAAGGTGTCCCAGTCTTGACAATAAAAGAAAAGCTGTTATATCTTCCACCAGAACTCAACTTGAAAGGTCTTGCAGATATTGAAGAAGGGAAGCCAGGTGATCCAGGAGATGGGGGTATCTATTGGAGGGTGAATTTTGACAGATTCCATCAGGACTTCAGGTGAACTTTCAATTTTCATTTATTCGTTTTGACTTAAAACGTTTTCACTGGGCTAACTTTGAACACAAAATGTTAATAATCAGATCTGCTCTAGTAATCTTAATTTTTGCATCCTATTGTGCATTATATTAAGCTCTTAGTTAAACTATATTTCACCTCTTTAGGAACCATCAACATAACTTTTTCAGAGTTTGATATTTATATTCCAACTTCAAACCTTTCTGTTTTCCAGAAGGTCACTAAGTGTACTGGTGTTAGGTTATTTAATAGACTGCCAAAGACCATTCAAAGTCTTATAAAGGATAGAATCAGTTTTAAAAATAATTTATTTTCATGTCTCATGAATAACTCATTTTATACAGTTGATGAATTTTTGGAGCATACAGTAAATAATTAGTTACAATGTTTGTTTAGCTTTGTATTGTCGTTCTGCTTTGTTTGTGCGTGTTATGCTTGTGACTAGTTTCATGACCATTGTATTTTGGACTTGAAATGTGAAATATATGTATGTACTTAAAAACCACTCTACTACATGTTTCAACCTGTATTGGTCATATGGTGGTACAATGTTTATAAAAAGATAATATAAAATAAATGAACATTCACTAGTTGTTTCAATACAGGCTGAAAGTCGCAGCAGTGGATGTTAAAGAAATAAAAGACCGAAGGTTCCTGAAAAGGTAAAATGTAGTTGTAATAATGTTTTATTGAAATGTGATAACTAGTTCTGGAGATGCAATTTGGAAAAATGCAGTGACAAAGACATCACCATTATGCATGTTATGCCAGTAAATCATTAAAATAGAAATAATCACTCTATAGAGATCAGATCATGGTGTCTGCCATTTCCCGACGGTGTGATGATAATGCTGGAGAATTGTTGAAGGAACTTCTTAAGCAGATGTATCTAAGAACAGAGGCTTGGGCTGCCACTTCAAATCCTGTTCCATTCACAGAACTACGGGAAGCAGTGCGCAAACAGAGCTCTCGTCCTCTTTTGGGGCAGTATATAGAACAGTACTTGAAGGTTATGGGTGAGTAAATTTGTGTAAAGCAGCACCCTTCTCTTCCACAGAATGAACTTGTTGCCCCCTGTTAAGCTGTTATAACAAAGGTTTACTGTATATATGTTCATTCCAGAGGAGGATTCTAGTGGATTTGTTAGCAAGGTTGGAGACAGTTCAGGTGGACAGTACAGCATAAACATGAAGACAGCTTTCGTTCAGCTTACGTGGGCAACCATTGAAAATATTGTAATGGAGAGGTTTGGCTCCAAAGGTGCAAGAATCTTCAGGTGTGTATTATTTTAGAGAAGTGTGATTCTATTTATATTATTTTAAAGTGAAAAGTGTACATAATGTATCCGAATGTACAGAGTTCTCACTATCTGATCAGGTTTTGCATTTAGCATCAGTCTTAAGTTTTTCATAGAAAAATATTTTGTGAGTTTGTGTTCTAAAATTAAACATAACAAATTCCAGCAAGTCCACCTAGTTTTTAATTGATAAATCATCATATAGTTCAACATGTTTAAAAGAAAACTAGATGCTTAGGACAACTAAATACTATGTGTTTGTATACCTCTGCCACTGAGCTTTGTTAGTTATTGTTGACAATTTTTTGTTTTGTTCATTGAGGGAGTCAACAAAGTTGCAGGTAAAGATACTATTGATATTTAATCATGTAGAGTAACATATACTATATTCTGGCATATAATGCTTTGTAGTGTGGTTTACCAACATTTCAGAGGAATATATTACTTCCATTTCAGAGTTGAAGAATAAGACGAACAAGAAACCATCAGAATCAAGTAGAAAACTGAGCTAAGCCCAGTACTTTTTGTGTCAATAAATGTTTAAGCTTGTACCAGTGCATGTCATAATGTACGGTGATATCCATGTGTTAATGTGTTTGCTTCTTCGTAGGCTAGTGAGAGCAAAAAAGTTTGTCGAGCAAGAGCAGATCCAGCAAGTGGCAATGATCCCTGCAAAGGAAGCTAAACTTCTAACTTACAGGTTACTTGAAGAAAATTTCCTGCACATACAAGAATTACGTAAATCATTAGCCAACAATGTACCAAACAAAACATTCTTTCTTTTCCACATAGATTTAAATCAGGTAAATTTATATATCTATATATTTGGATTGAAAATGTTACAGAAATAGAACATATTCTGGGTCTAATTACAGCATGATATCTTGTAATGAGTATTTTTAAATCTGATGGACTTCTTCTGATTATTGTCTTAGATATTCGAAATCTATTTAAGCATTCCTCTGCCATAATCAACATAGTGAATAGGAACTCGTGAATACCTTGTGGTGTGTGTAATGTAGTAAATGTTTACAATATTATATTTAAGCATCCTGTTGCACTCTATACGATATATGATATAAACTCTGTCCTAAGTGCAACAATTTATTGTAGGTCTTACGTCTTGCGGCCGAAACATGTAGTGTAGAAGAAAGCAAGATGTAAGACCTACAATAAATTGTTGCACTTAGGATGGAGTTTATATCATATATCATAGTAAATGTACTTTCAAGTGGAGTATTTAACATAATAATAAATATTATTTTACACTTACTTGGTATCATGGGGTTTCTATGTGTAGGTTATGAGCAGGGCCCGGATTTTGATGACATGTCATCTTTTTTCCTTGTATCCTGTGCGATTCTCTTAAATATATAAATCTATGATGTGAGTTGCTGGTTACAGAAATGTAAATTTTATAGGTAATTTTTTGTCATTTTTTGACATTTTTGGGTTTAAGGTAATTTTTTCAATTTGGGGGTAATTTTTTGGGCTTTTAAGAGTATTTCTTATCATTATTGGCCATTTTAGGGAATTTTTCTTCATATGTTTTCTGAAATGTGAATAATATGGAAGCAAAGTGTTTCTCCTAAGCGTTCCCTACAAAGGCCATAGTATAAAATAACAGGTTGTAATCCTGGCCCGTCCTTTCCGTTCGTTTCGCAGAAGTGCTGATAATACATATCATAAAACGGTATGGTGATGACGACTCACACTGCGGCTCTTTGTACAAAGCAATTTGCTTAGTTACACATATTTCTAGTTGGAATCTCTTGCTTCATATGACATTGTTGTTCAATAAAACTCCTTCTGTCTTCAGTTCCTCGCCCTTGACCGTACAGATAAAGATACAGTTGATGAAAGGTTCTCGGTGAGAAAAGTTAGTTCTGTGTTGCGCTAGAGTGATTAATTTTGTCACAATACCAAAAGTCAACTAAACCGTGTCATTTAAAGCAATTTGTAGCTGAGTTTGGAGATGGTATATTTTCAACTGACGGTGACATTTTATACTGCAAGATGTGTGACACAAAAGTAGTGGCAGAAAAAAGATTCACAGTACAACAACATATCGGCAGCAACAAGCATATATGAGCAGTGCAAATTTTGAACAAAAAGAAACCTGTGCAAATGGTACTGCAACAGTGTTCATCTGGAGGTGGAAATAAGTCATCTGATTTTTTCAGAGATCTGTGCGATGCTCTGGCATCCACAAATATTCCATTTTGGGCTCTGAACAATGGAAAACTGAAAAATTTTCTGGAAGTAAACTGTGGCCATTCCATCCCAGATGAATCCACACTCAGGAAGAACTACCTTTCCCAGTGCTACAACAGTATCCTGGAAATGATTAGGAATAAATTGCACGGGAAGAAGATTTTCATTTCCATTGATGAGACCAGCGATACGGAGGCTCGCTACATGGCAAACGTCATCATTGGAACCTTGGAAATTGGCAGACCAGGTGAAGTGTTTCTGCTTACGAGTGAGGTGCTATAATCCGTTAATCATTCCACAGTTTGTAAACTCTTCGACAGGTTGATGTTTCTACTATGGCCAGAGGGTATATGACACGATGACATCTTGCTTTTTGTGACCGATGCAGCCCCATATATTTTAAAAGCAGGCAAGTCAATAAAGTCGTTTTATACGAAACTGGTGCACGTTACTTGCCTAGCACATGCACTGCATAGAGTGACGGAGGAAGTGAGATCAAAATTTCCTCAAGTGGATGCTCTCATGTCAAGGACGGAGAAGATTTTCGTCAAGGCTCCAGCTCGTAAAGTGCATTTTAAGTCTATGGCTCCTGGTGTTCCACTGCCCCTGGAACCTGTCATTACAAGGTGGGGAACATGAATTGATGCTACAATTTACTGTTGCCATCATTTTCAGGTAGTAAAAAATATTGTAGATTCAATGAAGACGGAGTATGCGAGGGCAATTGAAGCTGCTCAGAAACAGTTCTCATGCATCGAAATGGAAGGACAGCTGGCCTTCATAAAGGCAAATTTCAGTTCCTTGACAGAAGGAATCCAATGCTTGCAGGAGAAAGGAGCAATGCTAGAAGATTCGCTCACTCTGGTGAAAAAATAGATTTGGAGAAAGTGTCAGGGGACATTGGTAAAATAGTGTCAAGAAAAATGAAAAGTGTTCTGGATAAAAACTCAGGTTATGAAACATGCAGCATTTCTCAAATTCTGTCAGGAGAGTCCTTCAGCGCTTTCAGTATTGAAGAAGAACTTACTGCTAGTGATTTGGTACACTTCAAGTATGCTCCCATTGTGTCTGCAGATGTGGAAAGGAGTTTCTCCAAGTACAGGAATGTGCTTTCGGACAGTAGGCGCATGTTGACTGTCATCTATTTCAACTCTGAATGAGGTAAGACTTGAATGTTGGAATACATACCGTATATGTACATTTGATAAGCATTCTAACACAATAGAAAAAATCGTATTAAAACATTTAGCTTCAAATTCAATCAATATTGCTTAATTTTCAACATAAAAATGAGGTCAGACTTAAAAGAGTAAAGATGAGTTCAGTGTTAATAAAGATTAAAAATACATTTTAAGGTAATTAGTAGATATTCTGACTTATTACATTTTTGGGTCATATTTTAGGTCATTTTTCTGGATTTTTTTTGGTCATTTTGAAGGTCATTTTTTAAATATTTTCAGGTCATCAAAATCCAGGCCCTGGTTATGAGTTAATCATTTCACAGGATTCTTTTTTGCAAACAGTTATTCTGCAGAATAATTGGGAATTTTGTATCTTGTGTGTTATGAATTTTCAGAAAATAAAATGTTCCTTTGTGCTGTTGTAATTATAATTGTATTTTCTAGGTAGCTCGAATGGTTCTTGAAATGTGTTACAAGGCCCTTTATAATGCTATGGTCAGAAGGGAACATGAGAGGTCTGAGAATCGAAGGATGGTTGAGAAGCAACAGAGAATTGAGTCGATTACTCTCACCATGAGAGAGCAAGGTGCGACTGCTGAACAGCTGGCAGAAGTAAGTAGATATTTTCAGTGTAAGTATCAGAAAATGTTGGATTTCATCACATCAGTGACTATGAAGAGTATGTCTTCTTGGGTTTAGTTCTGTGTAGTTTTGTATAAATCCACAGCTGTTCATCTGAAATATTGGTGGTGGACTACCAGAATTCACAGTGTTAAATGCTAGAAGACAGTGCTCTTCAGCTAGTGGAAGAGTCCCTTGAAATTCAACAGGGGATCATTCTTTTGTATGTTAATGCTTCATCACCTTTCTTCCTTAACTTTATCTCTTTTGTACCTTTACTTTCTTCCCTCCTTTTTCCAATAACATTCAACCAGGAATGGGGGATTTAAATCCCCTTGTGGTATGGTCTTGGCAGCTGAATTTTTAACTTGGAAATAACATTATTTGTAATAAAACAGTACAATGCCAGGTATGGTGAACTCTCTGTCTCTCTCTCTCAGACACACACACCATCATACACAACATCACATTATTGTGCCAGAGCAATGATGAATGTTAAAACAGTCAAGTTACATCTTTATAATTTAGGTGGCTCAATTTCAGGCATAGAGCTGCCACCTATGTAAGTAAATGAAAGTTACTACAATGTGAGAACAACATAACATCTGTACATAGTTGCATAACATACATACTTAGTCATAAACTATTGTTGTGTATACAGGCTATGCTATTGGTAACATCACCCAAATGACAGTCCCATACTACAGCATAGAAATGAACTAAGAAGCTGCTCCCTCCACGAAATGAACCTCTCCCCCTCCCCCAACTTTCCTTGTGACATTCTACTCAGATGCTCCTGCAGGTGCAACCATGGTCTCAGTTATCCCTTTGCTGTGAAATCATTTGCTGTGGTTTATGTCACATAAGACAGCAGTACTGATGCCACCTGTAAGCTTGCATATACTGATATAGTTTGGGTGCAGTTTTAAATGGCACACTTCATAGATTATGCTTAAACTAGGTATACTCTTGGCATACATAGTATTTTTTCTAGACCTGCAAAAAATAATTCAGATTGCTTGGAATCACATGGATTCAAACACAAGGCATCTGAAAAATTATGACTGATAGTAATTTTTTTATTTGTTCAGTTGTGTGTGTGTTTATATATATATATATATATATATACAGGGTGT